AATACATTACGAGAGGAGGTTTTTAGATGAAAAGAGATATTAGAAAAGACAGGAAATAAAGAGGAGGAATCCTTTGGGGCCAGGCTACACCTGTCGCCCAGGTGCGCCGACCAAGCGCATCAGGTGGGACAGCTGGCGCCATCTGCACCTGTAACAGGGGGGAGAGGTATTCTCACCTGTTGCCAGTGATGACGTCATACCATCCCGTCCGCTCCAGACGTGATGAGCTCCCTTTTTGGCGAGTTGAAATCACAAGAGTGAAAACTCTTGCGCTTGGTCGGCGCATCTGGGACAGAGGTTTCTACCGAGCGGACAACCGCCGGGTCACGGGGTCACCCCGGCCCGTTAAGGGCGGAAAACCCTAAAAACCTCCTCTCGCCATTGACAATACATTACGAGAGGAGGTTTTTGATTAAAAATGAGATTTAAAAAGATAGAAAACGGAAAGGAAATATCTTTTGGGGCCAGGCTACACCTGTCGCCCAGGTGCGCCGACCAAGCGGGCAACCGCCAGGTCACGGGGTCACCCCGGCCCGTTAAGGGCGGAAAACCCTAAAAACCTCCTCTCGCCATTGACAATACATTACGAGAGGAGGTTTTTAGATGAAAAGAGATATTAGAAAAGACAGGAAATAAAGAGGAGGAATCCTTTGGGGCCAGGCTACACCTGTCGCCCAGGTGCGCCGACCAAGCGCATCAGGTGGGACAGCTGGCGCCATCTGCACCTGTAACGAGGGGGGAGAGGTATTCTCACCTGTTGCCAGTGATGACGTCATACCGTCCCGTCCGCTCCAGACGTGATGAGCTCCCTTTTTGGCGAGTTGAAATCACAAGAGTGAAAACTCTTGCGCTTGGTCGGCGCATCTGGGACAGAGGTTTCTACCGAGCGGACAACCGCCGGGTCACGGGGTCACCCCGGCCCGTTAAGGGCGGAAAACCCTAAAAACCTCCTCTCGCCATTGACAATACATTACGAGAGGAGGTTTTTGATTAAAAATGATATTTAAAAAGATAGGAAATGAAAAGGAAATATCTTTTGGGGTCAGGCTACACCTGTCGCCCAGGTGCGCCGACCAAGCGGGCAACCGCCGGGTCACGGGGTCACCCCGGCCCGTTAAGGGCGGAAAACCTAAAAACCTCGGGTGACTTCCATAAGAACACCTGTTCCCTTCCTGTGGTAGAAGACATAGAACGTGAACTCTACCCAATAACCTCAGGTGACTCCAGATGGAACTATGTTCTTTTCAGCATGTGCAACGGGTAAATTGTACATTGTGTCACTTACTGCATCAGTTTGGATAGGCTATCGTGTAAGCTATATGATAATAGCGTTAATGGCCCGCCCTTTCTCGGTGAATATGGTGTGATAAAGCCTTGTCCGTTTCTATAACCACCGAATAAAGCCACCAAGTTCACCCCGGGGCGGGTCATTAACCCTTAAATATTGACTAATAGCCATTATACCAAGCATCAGCTAGAGTTAGGGATAACTGTTTTCGGTATAAAGGGTTAATGTAAAAACCGTTCCTATAAGGCACAGCCATGTCCATTGTGACCCTACGTCACAGATGTTTATCATACGCCGTGGAAGAGAGAGCACAGCTTGATTAAAAACAGCACCCTTCAGGTTTACTGGGCGCCATTTCTTGACTTTAAGAAAGTGATAGTCTGTTATGTTTATCCTATTCAGAGATTACCTAAACTTAAGACTTGACGTAAGTATTATTGATTAGGCCACACCAAGTAAATTTTATGGATGACGTCCTTTGGAGACCCTAAATCTAATGCGAGAGGGCGAAAAAAAACAAGATGCCAAGATTAGAAATATACTAAGAGATGACAAATGTTGGGACACAAATTGAATGAGGTGACACAGTGTAGTCTTTTATTCATCATCAAAACAGCAATAAATCAGATGGAACAGCAGTTGTCGTCCTGTCCTGTTTTCACGTTACGGGTTTCACGTCAATCTGACGATTTGCGGCACTGTCGTGACTCTTTGGTCATCGTTACAGGAAGCGGAATTTCTTGTTTTTTTTCTAGCAACAGGCCAAAATCAATGCGCGCGAGGACGTCATCCATAAAATTTACTTGGTGTGGTGAAGATGATTATTTATGTTCAATTGACAACCGTAACCATGTTAGTGCGCTTGCACACTGTATTCTTATTGCTAAATATTGTCTATACTGTAACACATGTTTCATAAAAAATTGCAAACCAAACTTCACAATTTTCAGAAACTAAACAAAACTATAGAAATAGAACATATTTGTCATATGTTCAAATCATTGTATTATTTGGTTGAAAATAAGAACAATGGCAACATTTTACTTGATATTTATCTAGATAACTCCTGTTAAAAATGTCTTTGCTTCTTATGTATTATTATGTACGATTGTACAAGTATGTTAACTATGTAGCTTTCATTCTTACATTGTGAATAATAATAATAAAGTTTGAAAAAAAATCTCGACTGTGCATCATGTTAAGAATAATTCATCCCGTCCACACCAGGCTAGAACAGATTCTATTCGTGAGAAATATGTTATGGCACTTGAAAATTCTGAAGGATAACACTCTCAGAACCAAGGACAGGCACAGTAGCGGCCGCGTCAGGTTTCTCTTCTCTTGTCCATAAAACAAGAACTGCTACAGACGTGAAAGTTACTTTATTGAGTGTCGGAATCTTACAAGGGATGGTAGTAAACCTTAAAATGACCCGCATTCTTTTTAAAACAAACAAGAGTAACACAAGTTAAATCGTGGCCGCTTCTTTCCAGGATTTAGTGCAAAGTGTGTGATCTGGACCTCCCATGCAGACCCCTAAGAAACGACAATGAAAGATGTAGGGATAGGGCATTCTCTTCGCTATCGATATCGTCTTGCCAATCATTCTGTCACATATAAAGGAGGGGAGGTCACCAGCATAAGGTCTTTTTAGAATAATTTGGACACCCTCCCGAGCAGGGTTAGTGGCTCGGCCCGTAAGGGTCCTACTCAACTAAGGAAGGACCCTTCCAGGCCGAGCCACTAACCCTACTCGGGAGGGTGTGTACACCAACAATCACACAAAAGGTGTTTTGAATAACTCATTCCAAAGTGATTTAGACATGACTACCTTAGCGCGTATACGTTCGAGTTCGGGTACATAAGATAATATCCCGTGTACAGTTTCCTTATAGCTCCGTCGAAAGAGATTTTTCTAAAATGTTGTTTTGACAAAGTAGGCATGCATAACTGAAAACAATAAACACATCGTTTTTACTTCCGAGTTTCATGATTTGCTCTATCATTGCCAATAAACTATTCATCCTGTATTAGCTATTTGAATACAGAAACTGAATGGGGAAATGATGTAACCACAGAGTTACAGAAAGGTCCACTTGGCGGTCAAAATATGATTTCACATCAAGTGAACTATGCATTCATCATCTTATCATCATGTTGTATACTATACTGCTTATCCCGATTTGCATCGGATTACGAGCAGTTGCACGCGTTAGTTACAAAACAGGTGACCGTTACAAATAAAAACAAGGGTAACTGAAGGAGGGGACAATAAGGAACATAAAGAACTGAATCTTTGGGTGAAACAGACAAGACAAGTGCATTGGCATGGTCTGCAGCTTAAGAGCGTGGTTGGTGCGGCGGGAGCATCGAGCCGCCGGGACAAGTCTAGACGCATGTGGCACAGAAATGACGTTGTGGATGATCTTTTACAATGTAGCAAGTCTGGCATTCCCCCTTCGGTTTTCTAGGGATTGCCAGCCAAGCTTGTCAATCATGTCAGTGACAGAGCTTGTACGATGGAAGTTGTTTGTAACATACCGGCCGGGCTGCTCGCCTTTGCACCATCTCTATCCGACCGACCTGATTGTTTTAAAGTCACCTCGTTTTCTCGTTATGTCTTCCGGTTTCCTGCTGTGTGCTTTATTGTTAAGAACAAGTGCACGCAACATATAATCTCGAATAAGCATGTGTACGGCTCTAGCGATAGTAGATAATCAAGACGTAACAGGTTCAGTCGCAGATAATCCGAGAGAGTCCCTCCAACAGCACAACGCCGGTATCTTCTATGTCTGTATCTGGAGTCAGTGACAACGCTTTGACGTAAGTTCGCTCTTGGTTGTAGGAGTGTCTATCGCCTCCCGGCCGTACGAAGTTCTCGTCATAGTAGTAGACGTGCGTTGTGTTGTCTCTGTTGGAAGGGACAAATTCGTAGACATGGACCCAGTCGCAGAGGTACATCATCATCACCACACCTGCAAAACACCACGTTTGGGATGATTGGAGCAATGCCACATCCAACAAGACTGGCAATGAAAACATACATTGCTATGGCGACGATGGTTGCTGTTAGGGTTATTGTTTGCATGGCAATGTCATCATTTCATGATTTTGAGGAAGACTTGGTACTTGGACTTTGGCCTTTGGCCTTTGGTTAAGTCTAGAAAGATACAGTACACTCCTCCCCTGAGTGCATAGTGAACGAGCCCAGCGGGTAACAGAAAGTAGGGCCATCTGGGGCAGACAGGTCAGGGTTCCAGGAATGTGGGTATAGATGTGGGTCAGAGAAATGCCTGTGGACAAAATGTCTGTACAATTCCTAGAATTCTTGCGAATTGCACACAACACTGTACCATTAGGCTCCTCCCTGAGACGTCGCAAAAAAAGGGCAAAGCGGCTAAACAGTAAGGTAAATACATACAACTTCAGAAAGGATATACCAACCGTTCATGTCTTAATCGACATTTCTTGATACCCCTAATTGCAATTAATTTTAGAGTCGCAATTTCTGCTGGCTGCGTGGTACAAGATACAGTTGCCTTCTAGAGTAAGCTTAAAAGTTTTAAAGGTATGAGCTGTAGAGGATGAATTTTCCAAAACAAGAAGAAAGAATAAAGTTGATATCACCCACTCTGTTTCAATTAAAGTGTAATCCTCACCAAATATCCCTGTGCTTGGACTCCACGTGGTCTTGTTACATAGTCTAGTGGTGTCACAGACGCGCATCACTTCGGCCTGGAGATCCTGTCCAAATTTAGGCCTCTGTATGAAAGGAAAAGTCCAGTTCGGATATATCTTCCGGTACTTGATCCAGTTCTCAAAAGCATGATGTATATCCCTTTTAACGTCTAAACCTCGCGGGGTCAAGTTGATGGCGTCCATGTTTCTAATGACCAATCTTCCGTGCTTGAACACGGTGCTGTTCTCGCTCCGGAATTCCGATTGGCACCTTCGCAAAGGGATGAGTGTGTTAATCATGCGAAAGTCTGTTCGGTTGCCGACGAACTTCTCAAACTTGTCGGTCGGAGCGCAGTTAAATCTTAGCACCGCATCATGGCTGTCTGAAATAAAAGAAGTAGCCAACTAGAGTTCCCCGATCTCATACCTTCGCCAAATGATGTTAATCTTTATGACTGACAAATTATACATTAGATTATTCCCCCCTGATTTAACAAATAGGAACCTAATTTTCATGAATTATATCATTTTATCATAATCTAAACCAAAAGACAGTCTTATATTAACAAACAATGCATTCTAATTTTTCCTAATAAATTATGCAAATGAGGTCCTGAATTGAATAAATTATGTTTAATGATGTTCACCTCAACTTAACTTTCAAATACCACAAGTATGAATTTCCAGGCAGTTATCATTACATAATTATAAAATTTTCTTATTAATTATGCAAATTAAGTCATTATTAACATAATAAATATCTGCCTGTGTTTCTCTCGTTGTCAATTACCAATGTCACAAGCTTCAATTGTCCTATCATGGAATGCAGCTGATTTATAGAATTTCCCCATAAATCATGCAAATTACATCCATATTTGCATACTTGTCACATAATTATATTAAGCATCACGTAAGCTACCTACATACCAAAAATCATGACGATCCGTCAACCGGTTCTTGAGTTATCCCCTTTTGAATATTTTCAAGAATATATCCCTGCAGTTCCAGAGCAAGCCGCTAGGGGGCCCAAACTCAGGTCACTTCTTCCCCAGCAAAAGAGCTACCTACCATCCAAATTTCATCACCATAGCATGTCTAGATCATGAGATATCAAAACCGGAAGTTCAGCTGCAGTACTATAACAAGCCGCTAGGGGGTCCAAAATCTAATCATTTTGAGGTCTCATCAAGACCTACCCACCTACCAAGTATCAAGACAATCCATCAAGGCCTTCTCAAGTTATCGTGTTTACAGACAGACAGACACACACACACACACACACACACACACACACACACACACACACACACATACACGGACGCCTCTGAAAACATAACCTTCTTGGCGAAGGTAATAATTAGCCTAGCTAACAGGCTGTTACGTTCATCTGGGATAAACGTGTGGAGGGCTCTAACCAAAATTACAAAAAAATTAACTTACAACATTTTCTACCTCCTAACAATAAGATAGTCTTGTAACCACTATTACATACCTATCTCCTGGCCGTACGTGTGAACCCTCAGGGCGTGGCTACTACTGACGATTGCGCACGAGTTAAAGTGCACCAACTTCTCCAGGCTTTCCTCCGGCAGGACGTCTTTATTCTTATCTCTGGGTGCCTGTGTTCTTGTGATGGTGGAAAACGGAACGTTCCTTTTCAGTTTACACGACATTTCTTGTCGTAATCTAGAAGGTTTGTCGGTAGTTTGTGGCAGTAGAGGCTGAGGTTGCTCATCGCCCATAGCTTTATTAGCCTCTGTGCCATCCCCCGTAGTTACCACCTGCTCCCTATTGCCTTTAACCAGCGTCGATAGGGAGTCGGTGGTAAGTACGGACCATGGCACCGATGCTATAGCTTTATAGGGTTCAAAGACAGCCCTGACCATCAAAGACTTGGTCACAATCCCATAGATTATGACACAAACACACATCCCAACTCCGAGAAGTACTAGCTTCCTTTTTGCCATGATATGTTCCGTTGTTTTCCTTTTTTTTTGACACGCCTTTAGGGAATGTCTGGGATGATGAAGAACTGAAAACAAATAAACAGACAAACACTTCAAGACAAACGGAATGTTGAGGCAAAACTAAAAAAAATCAATATTCATATAAATAAGTAGTAAAACTTTGGATGTTACGAAGGTGAATCACAATAAAATCAAAAGAAGACTGAACAAACCTAGCTAAGAACTCTATTGTTTGTGTGTATGTATGTATGTATGCATATATGTATGCATGCATGCATGTATGTGTGTACCGAATGTACCGACGATTTTATATATTATAAGAAGCGAGAAGAAGTTGAACCTGTAAAAATAGTAGATCACATTAGTAACTATAGTTTATTGCTGTATTCTCTTCCCTGTTTATTCATGACCTGTACTAAGCTTGTTAGAGCACAAACGTACAATAGAGGTCGTTTCATTCAATATACAGTATTTCAGCAGAAACCAGCAGGCCAATAAAGACCACTCATTCATACAACACAAACATCATAAAGAATGCATGTTGTAGCTAACATTCTCTACTTTAATAATGGCAAGGTACTTTAAAAACCTGCACCTAGGCACTGGTACGGGGAACGGCTATCACAGCATTTCCTATTGACGAATGTTCACATACAGACAAGACAACAATGACATGGTGGTCCTGTGGTTAGGGATGTCGACGGAGATTGTTTTAATACCTGGCAGGCGCCGCGCTTAACACCTTTTTCCTCATTCGACTCGTGATCAGTGAAAATGAGTACGTACATTCCACCACACTTATCGAAAAGACAAGGGTCCTTTTCGGTGTAAACTGGTCAAACACTACAGTCCTGTCTTACGCAGCTTGTGACAAACACACTTTGACACACCCCGCTTTTGGCACCATTCGGGTGTACAATATTCCAGTTGTGCAAATATCATCTTCTAACCTTCTAGAGAGAGAGAGAGGGAGAGAGAGAGAGAGAGAGAGAGAGACGATGAGTATTGTCCCGTCCTGTTTTCGTCCTATGCGTTGGTGGCGGCATAAAATAAGTCGATATAACTTGAGTGTCCTTGCGTCTGGCTTAAGGATCGTTTTTACTTGGGCCATAGCAAGTACATTTTATGGATGACATCCTCCGCAGACTCCAAATCTAATGCAGTATAGGACGAAAAAAAACCAAGGACGCCCCCCCCCAAAAAAATCCTACATTTTCAACATCATAAACCTTTTTCAACACGAAATGATACATTTATGTATATTGTTCTAAGTTTACTGACAACTATCACAACATCCATGTGTCACTTTGAAAAGTTTTCAATCATTTTGCAAATGGTTTTGTGTGTCAACAAATGACACTTAAGAGGAAGGCCGTATGCTGAAGTTTTCTTTTAATTTTTTTTCGGTCTCGCTCGTCGCGCGCGGCCTTACGACTTTGGTTCCAGGGGTAACTGGTTGCAGCGCCAGAGCCTAGAATTTTGTGCCTTAGGAATTTAACTCCAACTTCCCCGAAGAGAGCCCAACCAATCCACGACAGGACTGGATACAAGCCTGCCAGGCTGCAGTCTTAAGTATCATAAGTATACTGCTTACAAGTTGTGACGGTGAAGTGCATGGATCAGTACTGCAAAATAATGTCAGCTGTCAGCTCGTCTTACCTCTGCAGTGATTTCTTTTCGTCGCTTTTGATTCATGACGATTTCAACGGTTTAGGCTTCACTCGAATCAGTGTCTCAAATTGACAGATTTTTGCTACGTGTTTACCTAAATTGGCAATTAATGTAACTGAAAATTGACGAGTTTCAGAGGAAAGAATTTGACCAATAAATATGTGTCAGAAATATATAGTCTGAGCAGGACTTCTTGCTGTGTTTACTTTTTTAAAAACTTGCTCCTATTATTGCAGTGATTTTTTTGGGCCGCTGCGTAGCATTTATGAACCATGGCGACTTCAGCATCAAGTGTCAAAAACTGCCAGATTTGCTACGTGTTTTCCTTAAGCAATACAAATAAAATAGGATGGCACCCAGGCTAAATTTTCAGACTTCTAGTGGAGGGGTTTTGGCGATGGGTTTTCGTGAACGTATAATGTAGGGTGTAACGTGGCCTTCTGTGCAGACATGGCTTATTTTTAATCTTCGCCAAGAAGGTTAATATGTTTTCCGTAGCGTCTGTATGTATCTGCTATTCAATGATCAGGGTGTACCAATGGCACCTTGCACTGTTATATCATTGCATCCTGTTTGAAATTTTCTCTATGATCTAACTACAAGTATTGTCCAGATAATCCTGAGGCTTTTTGGTAGATAGATGCTCAACATTATGCTAGGACCAATTTTATGCCCAAAATTGCCATGAAATTTACGTTATACTCTTGCACTTAAAAATAGGCATTGTTTTTAAATAAGCCATTAGGTAAGTTACGACCAAAAAGTGAAATCTAGAATTGAGCAATATGTTAGGACTAGCTCTTTCTAATATGTTTTGACAAATATGACAAAAATTGGTATTTTTCTTGAAATGTAAAATATGACCTACTTCTGAGGACAACCACGTGAGAACCAAACAATTGGCCAAACTTTACAAACATTCATTTTATAGCACATATGATTATGTATCTGTTATTACATTTTGAAAGAAAAAGATCACCATCTTTGGAGTTATAGCGGTTCAAAGATGGGCAGAAATAGGGATATTTCAAAAACCAAAAACACTGTATTGTCTTAGGGATGCCCAGACCTCTTGAAAATTTTAAAGCTATTTTAGAAAAGCAGATAAGTTGGACATTTCAGCACAGTTTTTGTCTTTCCGATATATTCAAGCATTTGTTTGTAATGGCGCCCTAAACTTTGGAAATTTTCATGTTTCTGGCATGCCCAAATCATGGAAAATGGCCCTAAAACATGTTTGGGCTGTTACCATGGCAACGATCGATGAGGAGCAGAAAGAAAGCTATTTTGAGGGGTTGTGGGCCAAGTACTCTCACTGTGCAAAATATGAGCCAAATAAGAGCAAATGTCTGTAAGGATCAAACAATGGTGGCAGGGGTCAAAAAATCGATTTGGCTCATATTTTGCACAGTGATAGTACTTGGCCCAAGTACGGAAGTGCACATGTGTGCTAATGTCTTTATATGTTTAAATATGGGGACAAGTGCACAATAACGACACACGACCCGAACCTCCACAAGTATACATTTCATACAAAATTCATATAATTATGTGCTTCTCTTAAAAGATTGAATTCAAATAAAATACTACTTTGTCATATTTACTGCTTCAAAAACAGCCGTATATTATGCAATTTCTGTAATGTCCAAAATATGGCCTACTTTCAGAGACAAGTACACAACAACGAGACAAGACTCCAACCTCAACAAGATATCATTTGATACACAATGCATGAATTAACTACCCTACAAAGATTGGATTTAAATAACATCCTACTTTGTCAGTTGTAAAGCTCCAAAGATAGCCCAAAATGATAATTCTAACACATGTCCAAAATATGGTCTACTTTTAGGGACAATTACACAACAACGAGACAAGACTCCAACCTCCACAAGCATTCATTTGATAGACAATTAATAGGATTACTTTTAATCTAAAGTAGTATTAGATTGCTGCTTTTGTATTGTAAATATTGTATCTCAAATATGACAAATATTTGTATTTTTCTTGAAATGTAAAATATGACCTACTTCCGAGGACAACCACGTGAGAACCAAACAATTGGCCAAATTTAACAAACATGCATTTTATAGCACATATGATTATATATCTGTTATTACATTTTGAAAGAAAAAAATCACCATCTTTGGAGTTACAGCGCTTCAAAAATGGGCGGAAATAGGGATATTTCAAAAGCCCAAAACACTGTATTGTCTTAGGGGTGCCCAGACCCTTAGACGGACCTCTTGAAAATTTCAAAGCTATTTTAGAAAAGCAGATAAGTTGGACATTTCAGCACAGTTTTTGTCTTTCCGATATATTCAAGCATTTGTTTGTAATCGCGTCCTAAACTTTGGCAATTTTCATGTTTCTGGCATGCCCAAATCATGGAAAATGGCCCTAAAACATGTTTGGGCTGTTACCATGGCAACGATCGGTGTGGAGCAAAAAGAAGGCTATTTTGAGGGGTTGTGGGCCAAGTACTATCACTGTGCAAAATATGAGCCAAATCGATTTTTTTTACCCCTGCCACCATTGTTTGATCCTTATGCGACGGTCACAACTCGCCGTACGTGCTTCTGCGTGCTGTCTACGTGCAAAAACGTGGGCAATCGTACGGCATCCGTGCATAGTGAGTACCACCTCCGTACGGAATCCTACGGAATTGGGAGCACGCAGACACGCCGTAGAACTGGAAGTGCATGTAATACTTTTTCTACGTGCGGTCTGCGGATTTACCACCCGTGCGTGCGAGTACGTGAGACGCGCGTGCCCCGTACAGCCTACGAGCGTGCAACGTACGGACTCCGTGGGTCTAACTTCACTATTCTCACGTGCAATTGCTGTACGGACAGCGCACGAAGCACGTTCGTGCCACGCACGGTGCTTGCGTCATCCGTGCTTACTCCTCACTTCCCAGTTGACCTGCTCAATGACCACGCAGAACACACGTACACCATACCACGTGCTCCGCACGTGCAACGGACGTGCAACGCACCTGATTTCTACAGTATATAAAGACGACTTGACGGGCGGCTGCCAACTCGTCTCCAAGATGTCCAGGAAGGCTCAGAAGAAGACTACCAGACAAGACCCAAAGAAAC